TCTCCCGGGGCAGCAGGGGTTCAGCAGGGCCGTCAGGTGATGCCCTGAAGCGATCATTAACTAAAGGTGAAGGTTTGTCCTCAGGGAGCCAGGATGTGTTATTGAAACCATGAGGACAGACAGAATGGCAGTCATCAGGCGCACGGCATGGGGACCCGATTGGGTAGATAAATACACACCAATGACGACCAGTGTGAACCCCAGGGCGACATTGCATGAGGGCCGCTGAGAGGCGTAAGCTTGAGTGCCATCGGCGAGGCGAGCAGCCAGCCCGCCACGCGCCCCGTGGGTTTACGCCTTCTGTATCCACAGGCAGAAGGTGGAAGAAGCGAAGCCTCTGGAAGGCGATCGGTTCCACGTCCATGATAACGGCACCCTGCAGCTCAACACGACCACGGAGGACGACGCCGGCCAGTACTCCTGCTGGGTGGTCAATGCTAAAGGGAGGACGGCCGTCACCGCCAGCCTGGAAGTTCGCAGTGAGTTTAGTTCTTACTCTGCATGGGCTCTTCCGTGGGCTCGCTTTGCCTTCGTTTTCCCGGATGAAACCTGATTTGCATTAGAGCACTTGTTGGCGTTCCTCAGGCCTGTTCGCCCCTCCGAGGCTGTGTTTTGTCTGAAAGACCATCGTAAGAATGAGAGGCCACGCCATTGGTGTGTGCGCGGCTTTACAAGAGGGAGTAGGTGTTCTCGGGGTGACCAGCAGGACCCAGACACGCCCCACTGGGGTATTTCTGTAACTCTATTGTATTTCAATGACCAAGTGGCGTAATGTCAGCCGTAATCAACCCTTAGAGCTGAAAGTTTCACAGACGCACTTAGAAAAGCGCGGCTTCGTAGAGACCGGGCCGTACAGGATGGAGAGGTCTTTAGTCCCGTCCTTGACCCGTAAACTGCTTTGTATTTTTTCTCTCTTCAGAACAAAATCCTGGGAAGTCACTCATAGCCTCTTGGCTTTCACTGACATTTTGATTTCAGTATTGCTCAGAGAATCCTTTTCAGGACAACACACGGTCCAGAAAGATCCTGCAGCCTGTCGAGGGCAGAGGGTGGGGGACACGTCTCCCATGAGGCGTGGGGCTGTGGCCTCCTGCCCACGCTGCTTAGGGGACGGAGCACCCCTTGCTCAGCCGTCTGTTTTCACCAATGTCTGGACACCCTCCCCGCCCTCCCCTCCTGTCTCCTTTCATCCCTTTTTCTTCTCTTCTGCCTCATTTTTGTTTCTAGCTATACCCTGTTATCGGCCACGCCCAGCCGCAGTTTTAAAGCGCACACATCTTCCCCGTGGTGCCGTCTCT